GACCGGAAGTCTAAGCTTACCTGGTTTTTGTTTAACCAGGGGGCGCCGAAGATGGCGTCGTACCTGTCGATGTTAATTACATCGAAGTAGTGTTTTTCTACGTGGCTGTTGATCTCAACGTCCACGTTAGTTCCGAACAGGATCTGTGATCTTGTTCCTTTTGTCCCCATTTGGAGGACGACTGGGTTCTCCAGTTGAAGGATTGGGATGTGGACCACGCGGACAAAGTCCGGCGATAAAGCGTCCGTTTCGGCTCCACTATCGAATAGCGCATAGGCTTTTATGCCTGCTATTTTTATGTGAGCCGTTAGCATTCTCTTTGTTGAGAGCGGTCTGTTTACGGGGTATTTTCCCGCGTCTTTTGAGATGCGGAATTTCGCATCAAATAAAGGGGACTGGGTTTCGATGGACTTTTGGTCCTTCTTCCCTTTGTCCTTGTTTTCCTTGGGTACTTTGGTGTATTTCCCCAAGGCGTCTTTTCTTGGTGCTTCCACCAAGGCTTCGGCGACTTTTTCGTCTGCCGTGTTTTCTAACTGGTGTGCTACAGCCAGTTTGATTTTATAATTTATGTCATCGTGGTCGACGACTGACATTGGGCCCATTCTTATGGTCCCAACGTTGACTTCCTCACCCTCTGAGTCAGGTGAGTATTGAGGTCCTTCGTATGGGTCCTCCACTTCGAAGCTTGATGCTTCGGAGTTACCAGAGTTGTTCTCTGGTTTCTCATCTGATGAGCTTTTTGACTCTTCATCTGTTGAGTTCGCGATTTCCATGGCAGCTATACGCCTTGGTTTTTCATCGCTCGTTATATTGTGTCTTGGGCAGTCTTTCGTTTGCCCTATTTTGCCGCATTTGCCGCAAATTGGAACTGACTTTTGGTCAGTTTTCCTCGAGTTTTTCGAGGATGTATCCTCTTTCCATCTGGGTTTCAGCTCTTCCGCTTTCTTTCCTGACGGGAGGGCTTTGCCGCGGCTCGTTGTTGCCGTGGTGGTTGTTCGGGTATAGTACCCTGATTTGTAGGCTGAAGACATCTTCAGCCCGTCAATTATCTCGTCTACACGAGATATTGCTTTTAACATCTCCTCGTTTGAGGAGAAGTCTGCTCTGATTCTATCATGAGCAATCATTTCCCTCTTCCATTCGAGGGGAATGTAGTTTAAGAACCTGGCGTTAAAGGACGCCTGGTCTGGCGGCGTCACCATTTGGGACGCTGCTTTTGACAGTTCTAAGTAGAACTGTTTTAGGCCTTTTTCCGCTTCGTATTTGACGTTGCGGTATTTCTTTGTCGCGTTCAATGCGGCGGAGGCTTTGATGAAGGTTCTCATCAATATGTTGAGAACCTCGAGGAACATGCCCTCGTCTCCTCTGAGGAGAGTTTCGTCTCGGAGTCTAATTCCGAGGTCAAATGCGGGTCCCCCTAATCCACGAATCAAGCAGTCCAGGTGGACTTCGTCGAATTGGGGACCTTTGCATCCTCGCGAGGCGAGGAATCCCAGTAGTTCTGTGAACCACTGCCAGAACGATTCCATGTCGTTCTCCCTGACCATTTCTTGTCAGGGAATGCTGGCCCATTCTTTAGGGCTTCTGGCTTCACTCCTTCTGGGTAGGGAGTGAGTATTCTCACTTCGGCCATTCTTATGGCCTTTTCGTACCATTTCTCCAGGTACTCTTCTTGCTCCCCTGCCTTCGCGGGGTCGCTGTCCAATGGAGATCTCTCCTTTGGGGGGTTTTCACTGGGGGGAATCTTTCTCGCAGCATTTCTTTGGTTTCAGGCGAATTCGCCTGAAGTTGTATTTGTATTCTCTCATTGTTTTGAGAGGGTATGAATGCGTTACCTCTCTGTTCGAGAGGTCCGTCATAATTGGATGTTTGGCCGAACCTTTGGTACGTGCCAATTCTCCTTCTGATCTCTGAACGATGTCTTCTCTCGGCATCGTCTTCTCCTATCCTTGGGAGAAGGATCTCCTTAGCGTCTCTGTCGAGTCGCTGGTGATATTCCAGTGTGCTTTCACTGGTGGTTCTTTTCGTGAATTTTTCACGAGTTCTATTTATGTCCTGGACCGTGGTCCAGGGGTGTTTATTTGTTTCCTCACTTTTTTGTGAGGAGTTTATTTCCTTCAGCAAATCTGTTTGTTCGCTGATTTTTTCTGTCAACGCGTCGATTGCGTTGGCCATTCTTTCTAGAGTTATCTCTAGACGAGCCGTGCTATTATGGTTCGTTTCCTCGATCTTTTTCTGGATCGAGTTTATCGCGTTTATTATGCGCAATTCCTGGTTTTCCAGGAGGAAGTTTGGTTGGGCGAGCAGTGACTCTCCCCAGTTGACATTTCCGCTTCTGGGAGTTCCAGAATGGGTTCTTGGAGTGAACACTCCACGCTCGCTTTGTTTTGGCGAGGCCATTGCGGAGGGTGCTTCCCTTTCATAGAGGGGTCTGTTCGCTGGTTTCTCCTTATTTTTACGTAAGGCTTCCTCAGCGAACTCCCTCATTTCAGTTCGCCTCCTCCTCATTATCTCGGAGACCTCCTCCGAAGTTGGCGACCTTGCCTTGTCTGGCATGGTGCGTGGGGGTGTAAACAGCAGAGGCTCTTTTGGAGCTTCCGCGCTCTGAGAGATCCTGCTCTCAGGGCATATTTTCACGCCTTCTCGGGCTTTCAGCCTGAGAAGAAGTTGATCTTCACTTTCCGTCCTCCACTCGGACGGAACCTGGAACAAGTCCAGTAGTTTTTCGGATAGCCGACGCGGGGTTTCTTCCCTTTGTTTCCCTTTGTCTGCCTTTAGGGCTTGACTTGGGGACGTGATTGGGAACTCTAGGGGATAGTGGGGCCCTGGGGTTTCCTGCGGCTCTATCCGATCAGCTTTTTGGGCTGATCGTTCGGCGCTTACGCGTTTTTCGCGCAAGTCGATTACCTCGTGAGGAGATAAGGGATCTTCCCCAGCTTGGGTTAGATCGGTTTGTTGTGGAGTTCTGGGGGTATTTTGCCCCGCACTTACTCCATGTAAGTTTCTAAAGTCTTCAGGGACCAGCCCTGAAGTGGTTGCTTTTCCCGGATCACGTTGATCCTTGTCGTCATCTGACGACGGCTTTTGGTTTGAATCTCCCATGATGGGAGATTGCGGTTTCTTAATAAACCGCTCGCTTCTTTTTAACGTCGCTGCAGATGCGACCTTGCCCTTGCGGGCATGTTTAGGTGCCATAAGCGCTTCCGAATCAGATGTTGAGATTTTATAGTTGTGGGTTGTGTTGTAAAACACACCTCATGCACTTAAAAAAGTGTGAGGTCTTTGGGGTTGCTCAGCACACAAAGCCGTAAGTGATACAAGATGATGTATTTTACGGTGGTGTGTAAGCGGTTACCCGGAGGTTCCCGCTTGTCCACGTGACTATATCTATCTAGTTTACATGTGACTCGGGGTTCGGGGCTATTGCCCTGACAGTGAGTGAGGCGTCTTAGTTCTGAATTAAGCTTTCCGGCTTTTATTTTAGCTGTTTTTCTAGCAAGGCATGTTACTGTGGTTATGAAGGTTTGGAATATGTTTTGGGGGCTATTGCTTCGTGCGCAATTGTCTAGGGCTTCATTGCCTATGGTTTCAATCTCGCTTAGGAATTTTTGGTCATTGGTGAAGTATAGGGGAATGGCCCATTGGCCTTTACCGATTTTGGGAGCTTGGTTATCATGGAGTTCGAGGGAGATGAGTTGGTGGTCGGCAGTGGGGAGGTCGGGGTTCAGTATATCCCAGGTGAGGGCTTTTTCTCTTATGGCATCGGAGGCATATATCCTGTCAATTCTGGACAGGGATGATCCGGAGGAGTGGCCGAAGGTGAAGTTTTTCGCGGGGGCTGGGTGAGTAGCTCTCCAACTGTCTGAGAGGGCTTTGGAGGATATGAGGTTTCGGAAGGCCATTACTGTCGCTTCTGGGTCTGGGTGGGGGGGAACTCTATCAATGGCTTCTTCTACCATGTTTAGGTCGCCGAGCATGATGTCTATCTCAGTACCGACAAGATTTTGGTTCAATTCGGCCCAGAAGCGGGTGTTATTATTGCTAGAGTTAGTGGGGGCGTATATGGCGAGTATTTTTATTGGGGAGTTTTTAGGCCATTCAACCTCCGTGAGGAGGGCACGGCCGGGTATTACATCTTTTGTGGAGGGGGGATTTGTTTTAACTGTTTTCTTATTGATAATTATGGCGACTCCTCCTGAGCGTGAGTGATCCGAGTTGAAGGAGTGGAAAATATCCCACTCAGCGCCATATGTGTTGTTAAGGTAGGATTGTTGTGAGATGTTGGCGTGGGTTTCGGAGAGGCATAGGATGCCGAGGTTCTCAAGTTTCATTTTTCTCAGGATGGATGGCCACTTGTATCTGGTTGAGGGGCTGTTAGCCCCTTTGATGTTTAGGGCACCGATTCTTAGGTTGGAGGAGTCCTTGGGTGGGGTGGGGTAACCTCCTCTCAGGCACAGAGGGGGGGTTGTTGGGGTCCGTTTTCGGTTCATCGTCCCCCTTCCTTGGACAGTCGGAAAATGGGATAACCTGCAGTCCTCTGGGGGCGAAGGGAGCGGCCATTTACCAGCTGAGCTAAGACCAGGACATTGGGGATCCTTAGAGTTTATCGTTGGGTTTATGTGGGTACTGGCGGTTGTTTTCGCGCACACTCCTGGTTGCCAGCCATTGGAGAGAGCTGGGTTTGTTTTTGGGGGAGGCTAGCATGCTTTCCTGTCGCCTTTCAGCCCAGTAGATTTGGGCATGCTAGTAGCATTAACGGATGGGAGGTTTCTTTATTATTTATTATTAGTTGTCGCAGCCGTATATAAGTGCCGAGAGTCTCGTAGAGCGCGACATTGCTTTTCGGGGCAGGAGGTTTGGACAAGATCGCAGCTACTGAGGCCACGATACTGTCTGTTATAGCGGTACTGACCTGGCTATTCTCAACACTCACGGGTATAGCGGGTTTGGACGGGAATGAGGTTAGTTTCCTTCTTTTGGCCAGAGATAAACATGAGAGAGGACTGTATATTTTTAGGGGAGAGGAAAAGAATGAAGGGAAATGAAATGCGGCCATGATATATTTACAGGTAGTTAGCAGCTGATTGGGGGGCCGGACTACATTCCCTCCTGTTTAAAGGTTGGGGAAGGAGGAGGAGAAGAGGGCTTGGCTGGGATTTTACGGTGGGACAGAGATTAGGACCAGGCATGGTTGCCGGGGCCTAGGCCTCTTCCTTTTCCTCTGCCTCTTCCGTGGGGTTTCCAGTTGTGGTTGGGTGGGGGGGACTGGGGAGTTGAGGGGCCCGGTTCTGGCTTTCCAGCAGATGGGTTGAGCTCGCGCCATGCATAGTGGTCATGGATCGGGCAGACAGAGAAGATGTGGTCAATGGCCTTGCATGTGTGGCGATAGGTTGGACCACCGACAGCGCGGCCATTTCCGGTTGTGTCGCCCGAGAAGGTTGAGAGTTTGAAGAGGCCAGTCCATTGGTCATGTATGTTGTTCATAGTTCCTGGGGCACAGTCCGTGACGCGGAAGAAGGGGGATGGAAGGTGGATCTCCCACATCGATGCGTCGATGTTGGTTGGGGGATCCTGCGTTCTGTCGCGGTGAGACGGGAGAGGTGGGTGGCAGGGCCATATCCTCTTGGAGTTGCAACACAGCTGTTGGCAATCCTCGCGATATCATCCTTGTCGATGTTAGCTTTTTCGAGGAAAGTTTTGAATATCGAGTTTGGTTCTTGGATTTTCTGGGATACCGCATCGGCGACAACTGCGCTTTCATCGAGGTTTGCACCTAAGTCTTTAAGGGTCACGACATAGCTTGTCGGGCAATAGGTGGCCAGCTCAATGGCAATAAAGCAGATAGAGCGGCTCATCCAGAGGTGTCTGGTCACCAGAAGGTGGGCATGGGAGGGGTGGAGACCTTCGATTAGGAAGCCCCAGGGTGCCCCCGCGGGGTCATATCCTTTGGCAATGGGGGGGCAGACCTTGATGAAGGGGGTGGATAAGGGGAAGGCTCTGGTTAGGAAGATTGTGAGGTCGTTCCTCGTTTTGTGGTCGTTCTCAGGACTATGTTTAGCATCGAGGGGGTAGATTAGGATTGCTCTCGGAGTCGTAATCCACTGGTTGAAGCAGGTTTCATCAATGTTTGCTAGGATGCGAGCTGGGCGGGCTCCGTGGGCACGGAAGTTGGCCAGCTCTCCCGTGAGGTCGATGTAGTTATAATCTGGGTTGTCATCTAGGGGTCTCAGAGCGGTGGCAGTGGCCTGTGCAGGGGCGTCCATGGGCGCAGGGGAGCGAGTTAAGTGGGGAGGGTCGGTTGAGCTGTTGGTATCAGTTGTAGCCGGATTTGGGTGGATGTTAGCGGGTAACGTTGTGGCTACTGGGGTATTGTAGTTTGCAAGGAAAGGGTCGTCGGTGTTAGCAGGGACCCGGAACATAACACGGGGTGGGGCAAGAGTAGGGCCTTGGATTTTTGCAGATTCCGGGGACCGGAGGCGTTTCAGAGTTTCAGATGTAGAACTTGTGAGAGCCTGGGGGCGGGGAGGCGTGGTAATGGGGGGGCACGTGTGGTTGCTGAGTGATATAGGGAGCGTAGAGAATTGGGGGTTCGCCCCGGGGATGGGGTCATTCCCGAGGGTGTGAGCTATCATATCCACATCGAACACGCTGGTCACCGTTGGAGTGTTTTGCAGTGCGTGGTGGGTTGGGCTAGGTGGTGGGGGAGGGGTAGTACGTGCACCTGCGGCATGGGAGGGAACCACTACATAATGTAGTTGTTAGTAGTTATTTAGGAGTCGCTCTCGGGTAACACACGTTTCTGGTGCACCTCCATTTTTACGAGAGTGGGACGAGAGGCACTTGGTAGTGCTTCATGGCTCTTTTAGGCCTAATCCTTTTCGGGATTACCCGGGGTACTGGGGAACTACATCCGTTTGACGGGAGGTACATCCATAGGTACCCGACTCCTAGCCCCTTCTCGGACCAGTGCCCATTGGCATAATAGCCTTGTAGGGGGCTACTGGGTCGCTTTCAGGGGACTTTTTGGCCTCAGATTTTGAGGCCGATGTTCTTCCGTAATAGGAAGGTAGTGGTTCCCCCCCTCATCTTACTTGTCTTCATGGCATTTTTTAAGGTAGGCGACATACAGAAGTTATGACTATTACGGTAAGTTCCGATCAGTTCATTTGTGTGGCTGTGACGGCAAAAATCCTTGGTGTCCATGTGACCTGGGGTTTTTTGTCTCATCTCTATATCTTGCAGCAGCTACACAAGCTACATGAGTTAATAGTGGGGCTTAAAATGCCTCCACCAAAGAGCTTTTTGTCGGCTCTGACCCAACCATTCCGTGGGCATGTGATTAGTGACCCCAATGAATTGTGGCTAGATTGAATTGACTTTCCATAAATGGAAGCTCACGTGCTCTCAGAGCGGCAAGAAGTTTCCAAAGTACTTGGATAGAAAATGGAAATTCAGTGAATGGAAACATATTGGAGGCTTAGTGAATTCACAGAAAAAAATCACATTTCATTTTGACCTGAGAGAAACCAAGGAGTTGTAGAATAGGTCCTCCTACACCACTTCCAGGATTTATTTAGTACCCTAGGGGGTTGTGGTGAGGATGAGTGTTGATATGCATGAACGAACATATTTGCTTCTGGATAGTCATAACTTCTGTATGTTGCCTACCTTACAACAACCATCCAACAGCTGATGAAAATGATGTGGTGGTACTTTATGGATTATATGAGACACATTTGACAATTTCGATGATGTGGTAAGTGTAGAAAGGACCATATCTGAGGGCAGTGGAACAGAGTGACTATTGACTAATTATGAAAGTTGACATGGGCAAACCATGGCATCAGGAAACCTCCAAGGCTGATTTTAAAATTGAAAAGGAAAAAAGAGGGAAGATTCCCCATGAACATCTCTGTCAGGGCAATAGCCCTGAACCCTGAGTCTTATGTAACAAGGGTGTACTTAGAGTCATGTGGTTAAGTGGCAACTTCTGGTTACCACTTAACACTACTGTAAAATACACACCATTGTAACACTTATGGACTGGTGTGCTGAGCAACCCCAAAGACCTCACACTTTTTTAAGTGTATGAGGTGTGTTTAAAAATAAACACAAACCACAAACTCATACAACATCTTTGCCCTTCTGACTTGGTAGCACCCATGGCACCAAAACATGCCCACAAGGGCAAGGTCACCTCTGCAGCGACAATAAAAAAGAATGGAGATTCACAACAAAAGTCATTGTCAGATGAAAGACATGGGGAAATATCCTGTGAACAGACCGCTCTCTACTAAGAGAACGTTGACAGCCCACATCAAAATAGCAGGCATAAAAGCCTATGTGCTATTCGACAGTGGGGCAGAAACTGATGCAATATTGCCAGACTTTGTCCGTGCAGTCCACACCCCAATTCTCCAGTTGGAGAATCCAGTCATCCTCCAAATGGGGACAAAAGGAACAAGATCAAAAATCTTGCTTGGAACGAATGTGGACATCGAGATCAACATTGACAGATATGATGCCATATTTGGTGCCCCCTGGTTGAATAAAAACCAGGTAAATTTAGACTTCCGATCTCACAAAGTGAGAATGGCATCCAAGGGCAACATAGACACCCTTGGAGTCGGTGAAGACTGTGTGATGAGATCGCATGGGTGGAAAACTCGAGCAAGGACTTGAGAACTGCCAAGAAAAAAGCCCCAGGTTTAACCCTAATGTTCCTGATGTCAGCTCATCAGAGCCATCATTGAAGGGAGTCAGTGAATCTGGCTGCACCAGTTGATGTTCAGCATCATCCATGACCACCTCCTGAGCTTCAGCACAAGTCATGAAGCATCCAGTATCCAGGTAGTAGAAAGTTTGGCTTAGACAATGTCTCTCCACCAGCTTGAGGTTAGATGGGACTTTGTTGGATTGGGGGGGGGCCAGGCCATACAAGCCGGAATTCATAGGCATCCCTATCCTCAGCACCAGGCAATGGTCCAGGTGTGTCTTCCCATCTGGGCCAGTCGAGGAACCATGGGACTTCAGTCCCTGGGGCCAATGGGAGCCAATAACCGTGAGCTGCCTCAACATGTTCGTTCAGATCCAATTCTTCAAACAATCCATTCTTAATTACGCAACACAGCAGCTGACAAGCAAGGTATACAGCAACCTCAGGTGAACTCACCATTGATCAATCATCAGTTGAGTTTTCTTCAAGGAAGATTCCTTTCGGATGTTCAAACCAGGATATCTTACATCCTTCTTGGACCTCTCCTTCCATCAGGTGTTCATGGATCCGGGTGTAATTGACAAAGGCTATAAGGAGGGAGATGATTCAGAGTATGTAGGTATAACGAGAAAGGATGTTGCCAGGGAATGAATTGAAAGGCAAAGATGTGACTGTCTAGTTTGTACTTGCTGCCCGACCTGGACTTGACCTTGTATATTACATCCCTTAGTTCGCTAGGCAATCGTAATTTTGTGAGGGCCTCAGCCTTGAGCGCAGCAGCCTTTGAAGCCTCCCAACATTCCACCAATGGGGACAGAGATCGAGGTGGAACGTTCTGGTTCCCATTCTCTCTCAGTACTTCAGCCTTGTTGAGATGATGATTCTCAGGTAACAAGAGCCATAATCAATCCAGAGATCGAACACCAGATCTTATGTGGTGCAGAGCTACATAGGAGAATGTCAGGTTGAGTGGTCCCAGCTGCCCGTTTGACCACATGGGATCAGATGGGGCTCTCATGAAGGGTGCAGATGATACTTCAGCTGCCTCGAGGCCTGGGCAGTCTCGTCTGTGTTTGTCTGTGATCACAATGAAGTTACATGGGGCGGGCCTGCAGCTCATACTTGCCAGTCCAAGAGACATTGTCAGTTAGATTCATTGATGGGATTGCAAAAACGATGGAGATGGAGGATGATTGAAGTGTAACCTGATCACATGCCGCTAATCGGCTTCATGCGAGTACCCGATCAGGAAGTGGGCGCTTATTCACATCTGCTCAGGCTGTCAGGGCATACACCCTGACCTAGCCCATACCCGCATCCACACCCACACTTGCACCCACACCTGTGCCCACACCCAGCTGTTGCACTTCCTGCACGTGCCCTGTGCCGGATGCTCTGTGTGGCCGGATGCCCCGGGCCCTGGGTCTTGGGTCTCATGTGACTTCTGGATATCCACGGAAGTTTTCGATCTATTGTGACCACTGTGGGAAGATGAGAAGTTAACTTCCTTCTCATCTCTGACCCACAGTAGGATTGTGCCCTGGATAGGGCTGGCTAGACTTGAGGCTGTGGGCCATAGGGGAGGGTCATGGGGACCTGGGAGTCGTCCCCTGACACAGGCCCAACTTCAATCTGTACCTTCCGAGGATCTCAGGGGCATTTTGGAGGTCTCTCTCGGTTGCCCACATGTCTTCTTGTGCCCCATATCCCTTCCATCTTACCCTATACAGGAGTTTCCCTTTCCGCTTCCTGTGCCCCACCACCTCTTCTACCTCAAACTCTTCTGAGGCTTTGATATCGTCTCTGGGGTTGGATAGTAACGGTCTTGAGATGTCACTGGAGGAACGATAAGGCCTCAGGTGCGCTACATTCACCACATTATGCATAGGGTAGGAGTTGGGGAGTTTTAATCAGTAGGCATTCTTATTTATCACTTCCATCACCTCGAATGGCCCAATACGTCTCTGCATTAGCTTCTGCCCTGTGCCCTTCACTTCCAGGAGGTTGAGCTTATGAGGTTCGATCAGTACTAAGTCTCCCACTTCATATGTTACGCTCCGGTGTTTGGCGTTGTGTGCCCTGACTTGACGCAGTTGTGCCAGATGGATCGCTTCCCATGCCCATCTTCTGCATACGTTCAACGCATCCACTCTTTCTTCTGCTTTGACGTTGAGGGACTCTTCAGGAATGAGGAATGAGCTAGGCAGGCGGGGTCAGAAACCCATCAATAGCATAGCAGGGGCTTCTCCTGTAGTAGTATGAGGGCTATTATTGTACGCTAACATCAGAACATCCAAGAATTCATGCCAGTCGTCCCTGTCCTTATTGACATAAGCTCATAGCATAACTTCCAATTGCTGGTTCATTATCTCTGTCTGTCCATCTGTTTGTGGGTGCACAGCTGAAGACATCGCCAGCTTAGTGTCGAAGTGATGCACTAAGGATGACCAGAACGTCGAGAGAAAATGAGGGTCCCGATTGCTGACTATTACCACAGGTAACCCCACATGTTTAATTACATGGCACCATAGCAAATCTGCAGCACCTGTTGCATCTGTGGTTGAGGAACATGGGATAAAATGCCCATATCTCATGAACTTGTCTATCACTACCAAGATGGCATCTGGTTGAGTGGTCCCCTTAGGAGGAGGAAGTCCTGTCAAGAAATCCAAAGTTATTGTGTGATATGGCAAGTCTGGGACAGGCAAGGGCTTTAGCAGACCCAGCATTTTGCCTCTGTCATGCTTGATCTTCTGGCAGATGTCACAAGTTCCCACATACTGTCGAGTGTCCTTTCCAAGGTCCTTCCAGTAGCACTTAGATTTTAGGTGCTTGAGCATCCTTTCTATGCCCGTGTGAGCAGCCTCATGAGGAGTGTCATGAATTTCCTTGGGGATCGTGGTCCTCAGACTTCTTGGAACGCACAGGCATCAGTTGGTTTGTGGGTCATCTCAAAGTAGTAACCCTTCCTCTGACACTTGGTAGGCACTGCCTGCTACGCCACCGTTAAGGGTTTTGCGGTATATGTCCCTGAATTCCTCAGCTGTTCTTGGGGCTAGACCCAACCAGAGGCTTGTCATGCTCCTTTCCTCTTGACTTTCATCAACAGTATCCATATTATGTGATAGGTCCAACTTGTCCACAGTGTTTGACTGTGCCCTGGTAACCACAAAAACTCCTTTCACCGGGTCCTTGCACAGGTACATGCTCCAACTTTGGATAATGTCCTCCTGAGCCAGGCTGGTTTCCAGACTGAGTAACTCTTCCATGTTCGGGGATATCGCTTTCGGGGTCCGGGCCAGGTGTGACAAGGGGTCTACATTAGAATGTGTGAGGCCCGGACAGTGGACTATAGT